TGCGGAGATTGGCAGAACTCACTGATGATGCCGACTACGATGCCGGCGAAACATTTGAGAATGTATAAAGTCCACTGCCAGATGCTGGGAACCATGTAAACTATTATGACAGACAACTTCGGACTAGATGCGTTCTACATAGTCGCCCTGACATCAGGACCAAGTTGCGACAACGAGGTCAACCCACTTCTATTTGAAAGTTCTAAAATTAGAAAACCAGATACTAGTTGTTTATGTGGACTCGACGTACCCGGCTCGATAGAAAATCCCCATAAAAGTATGATTACATTCAATAATTTAAAAATATATTGTATGCAAGGTACAATCTTATTGTAGCAACTTAATCGTGCCGTCAGAGCGACCTTCCGTTAAGTCCTCTGCCATAGTAGTTATGCTAAACCTCTGAGTGAACTTGATACATTCCCAGACGTTCTGTCGGCATCTTAGTCAGCATAGTCAGCGAATATTGTCAGTCTTAGCACCACGCTATAACTCGTAAAAGCTAAAAATAAGGTCCATTACTTAACCAACTTTCTGCGGCGGTGCTATCACTTTTTGTATCCTGTTGCATCTAGCTGTGGTCAACCTGGCCTTGATCTAGTACTATTCCACAAAACGTTGTAGTTGGTTCATCCAACTGATTATTATCAATTCTTCCCTCCATCAGTCATCTAGTCATTAAATGTACGTATCAACAAGGCAATTGACGACTTTAAACCACTTCAATACATCGAAAGCAGACAGTGAGCCAATTATGGGTCATTCCTTCTTGGTCTTTATACACATTAAAATGCTAATTTGATAATAGCTTGCATCATGAGCGAAAACGTCACAGTACTAAGGCAAGAGATCTCTATATTGATGTAGTATCAAAAGAAAAGCTTCCCACCATCACTTGTTGGCCATTCATCTGTTGTTGTTGTTGTTGCTGTTGCTGTTGTTGTTGTTGTTGTTGATAGTGGCCGGAAGCCGTGTTTGCTGAATATCTCTCCAGACCAAATTGTCCAGTGGAGGCGCCGCCAGGCAAAGTGCCACTATGAAAGGTTGGATGACCAAATCTGCCACTTTGACCGACGAAACCAACACCACCGGGGCCTAGCATCCCAACTCCATTCGGTGCTATTGATGCTGAAGAGGGCATATGGAGAGACAGATGAGACTGGTGGTGATATTGAGCGGGAGAAAGTCCGAAGCCAGGTGCAGGAGTCTGAGCAAGATGCAACTGGGAGCCGACCAATAAATGATGTCGATGTGCCAGCTACAGAATATTTGCCAGTTGGAGGATAAAGGGATGAAGGGAGCATAAAGTGCGGTTGACGAAAGAAGAGAATGTTTAAAAGAGGTTCACACCAAAGCTTGATAAAAATAGCATAATTCAACAAATGCTACTTGTGCAAAAATCTCAAAGCCTTATTAATAAAAACAATATACTTATTAAAACTAAAAGAGCAATCAATTCAAAATTGGAATTGTAATCATCATAACATATATAATTAACCGCTGTATAGAGTAAAGAGTATGCAAAAAGCATTTAAATGCTAATAATGCCAGGTCACTATCGGTTAGTTAGGCTTTCCATATCTTTCTCTGGAGAAGGCGCCACTCATAAACGGAGAGCTATACAGACAAGAAAGTTCACTTTCAGGAGTATTTTCACTGATACTTTCCTACCTTT